ATGCAAGTGGTATCAACGCAGAGTACTCTTCAAATCCGTCTGGGGCATCAGTAACTGTTGATGGGAGTTACCGTGGAACGACGCCGACTACAATAACGCTTTCTACCGGTTTCTCACACGATAAGAGTATCAAAGAGTGGATATAGTACCTACTCATCCTATGTTACCATTTACAGTGGGTCGACATCAGAAGTATATGCTGATTTATCTTCCTCTTCAGGATATATTTCCATTTCCCTCGAATCCATCGGGAGCTTCCATTTACCTTGATGGAGCATATGTTGGATATTCACCATTGACCGCTTACAACGGGAAGTGGTAAACATAGTGTTATGCTTACTAAAACCGGGATATGGAACATTCTCAACAAGTGTCGTCGTTGATCCAGGTTCAGTCTCATCTGTTTCTGCCTCTCTACCTGAGAGTACAAGAACAGGATATGTCAATATTGGTTCGAATCCGATTGGAGCAAGAGTATATATTGATGAAGAATATGTTGGTACAACCACAACAGGATACTTCTCTCGTGCCTATCCGGCAGGTATTACCCATAATATCAGATTTGAATTGGATGGGTATGAGCCGCATTCCGAATCATTTACAACAAGTGAAGGTACAACTGTAGTTGTTAATCCAATTCTGTCACAGAGTGAATCCTCAACTGCATCCCTCTATGTAACTTCAACTCCGTCAGGCGCAACGGTAACGGTTGATGGAACCTATTATGGAACAACCCCCGTTAACGGTTCCGGGATTAATTGCCGGATCTCACGTGGTTAAAGTTTTCTGCGGCCGGTTATAGTGATAATATTCAGACTGTTAACTTAAATGAAGGTCAACTGGTTTCAGTTACCGGTAACATTATACACCCCATCTCCAGGAGGACAGTCTCCAGTACCAATTTTCGGTATAGTAGCAGGTCTTGCAGTTGCAGGTCTCTTCTGTGCTCTGAGAAGAAAAGAATAAATTTTCTTCTTCCTTCTATTTTTTTTTCTTGTATTTTTTCTTATGATGATTTCTAAAAACCCCAATTTCTCACATCAACTCTCTCTAAAAACATGATTTAGATTACATTTTCGAGGGTTTTGATTTTCAAAAACGAGGGTTTTTAGAAAAAAGCTCTTATATTGAATGCTGAGATGAGGGGAGTAATTCCGAATCTATATCCCATTTCAGTTTCAATATAATAGATATTCATGGAGTTGACAGAAGGACATATATAAAGAAATAATTGAGGTAATCCTTTCCGACAGTCAACGGAGTGTTCAGGATTGTAAATTATCGATATGCCGAAAATATTCTTTGGAGGTCATGCCGAAAAACTCAAGGTATTCTTAAAATAGCCGAATCTTTTTTTCCGCATCAGTATGATTTCCTTCGTGAACGTTTGCTGGTAAAACCGACACGTACTCTTTCCGGGGTTGCACCAGTTGCTGTTATGACGTCTCCAGCCGTGTGTCCGCATGGAAAATGTTTGCCATGTCCCGGGAGGTCCAAATCACATTTTTCATTCACCTCAGAGTTATACGGGAGAAGAACCGGCGGCTCTTCGCGCCCGTCAGAATGAATATGATCCGTATCGTCAGGTAAATGCACGTTTATCCCAGTTCCAAATGTTGGGGCATCATGTGGATAAAGCGGAACTGATTGTAATGGGAGGGACGATGACGGCACGTGAACCGGAATACCAGACGTGGTTTGTATCGCAGTGTCTTAAAGCGATGAATGAATATTCAGGTACGTCCTCAACTGCATCTGAGATGGATGATATCATGCAGGAAAATGAACGGTCGTCGGTTCGCTGTATTGCAACAACCTTTGAAACGCGACCGGACTGGTGCCGGGAAGAACATATTAATCGGATGCTTGATTTGGGGGTTACTAAAGTCGAGTTGGGGTTTCAGCATACTGAAGATGATCTTTTAGTAAAAAATAAACGCGGCCATACAGTTGCCGACAGTGTCGCAGCAAACACGTTTTTGCATGATGCAGGAATTAAAGTAGGATTCCATGTTATGCCGAATCTCTATGGGAGTACCGTGAAGCGTGATAAAAAAATGTTTGATGACTTGTTTGCCGATTCACGGTTTCGTCCGGATTTCCTGAAAATATATCCTACGTTGGTAACTCCCGGTGCGGAACTTGAAGAACTGTGGAAATCAGGGGAATATATTACTTATGATGAAGATACTTTGATTGACTTACTGGCATATGCGAAATCACGGTTGCCTGAATATGTCCGTCTTCAGCGTATTCAGCGCGATATTCCGGCTAAACTTATCGTATCCGGTTCACGTCATGGTCATATCAGACAGATGGCACAGAATCGTTTGGAAAGGCAGGGGGGGGCAGTGTCACTGTATTCGATGTCATGAAATCGGCCGACGCCCTTCGCATGCGGAAGAACGGGAAAAAAACCCTTGTCTATGACTGTTGTGGCGGTAAAGAGCAGTTTATGTCAGTAACAGCGGGGGAGGCTCTGATTGGATTTGTCCGATTGCGGTATCCCGGAAGAGTATTTCGGGAGGAATTGGATAGTGCTGCACTGGTTCGTGAACTGCATGTTTACGGGAGTATGGTTCCGATTGGTGAATTGGGGAAGGGTGATGATCGTCAGCATAGGTCTTACGGAAAACATCTCCTTGCGCGTGCGGAACACACGGCGAAAGAAGCTGGCTATTCCTGTGTTGCAATAATGGCGGGAGTTGGGGTGCGTCCGTATTATCGTAGGCAGGGATATGAACGAAGAGGACCATATATGATTAAGGATATTTGAATGGTACTGTGAAACCTGCAACGATTGATTTTATAAAAAAAACGATTTACTGCGTATTATAATGGGGTCTCTGAAAGGAGCGGGAGCTATTTATGTTCCATCTTCCTTGGAACAGCGGGGAATGGGGTTTTCTCTTTTTCAATGAATCGGCCAAATCCGTTATGCGCAGACATCTTGCCTTTCAGCGTTCAGATGATTTACAGATATATCTGAAAACGACCACTCCTTCCCATGTCTATTATTCAACCGCCTTCTATGCTCATCCTGCTGCTCCGAATATGCAGGATAAGGAGTGGCTTGGTGCAGAACTGATTTTTGATTTGGATGCCGATCATATACTTCATGCCGCGTATGATGTTATGCTTGCTAGGGTTAAGGAAGATCTTCTCAAGTTAATTGATATGCTGACACAGGAACTGGGATTTAATCGGAATGATTTGCATATTAATTTTTCAGGAGGAAGAGGGTATCATATCCATATTCCTTTGATGTCGGTTCGGGGGTGGTCAAGTTCGGAACGGCGTGAACTGACAAATTATGTTTCGGGTACGGGGATTACTTCGACGGTTATGTTTGACGAGGGTCACTATGCCGGGTGGAAACAGCGGTTTACTGAAGCGGCGATTGAGGAACTTACGTATCTCTCTTCCTTACCTCCCGCAGAAGCACAGAGTGCCCTTATGGGTCTGTCGGGATTTACGGAAAAAACGTCTCTACACTTTTGTAAAACGATACCTCATCTTCTCGGAAGAATTAAGGAAAATCCATCTGCTTTAAAGAATAATACTTTACTGAAGACCATATTGTCTCCGGAACTTAATTCGGCATTTCGGGAACGCATTCTTGCGCGTTCTGCTCAGACGGATGAACCGGTGACAACGGATATCAAACGTCTGATACGGTTTCCCGGTTCACTTCACGGAGGGTCGGGAATGCGGGTAGTTCCTATTGATATTGGGGATATTGACGAGTTTGATCCGCTTGTCGATGCAGTAGTATTTGATGAAAGCCCGATTACGGTGACCTGTAATTTTCCATTAACCATGCAAATGCTGGGAAATACCTATACGCTTGCAAAAGGAGTTAATAAAGTTCCCGAAGCACTGGGTATTTTCCTGTGCTGTCGGGGTATTGCAGAATACGGGTGTGATGTATAATATGACGAAACTCACGATTTCTGATTTACATGGGTATATCCTTGATGAACGAAGTATTGGTTCTCTTGGTGAGATTCCCGGAACTCTCTATGAACAGGTTGCGCTTGAAATTGCGCGGATTGGTCAGGAAGTTTCGACGTCGAAGGAATTCTTTTCTGAGGGTTTTTCATCGTTATATAAAGAACGTGAGAGTCTGCGCGAACTTCTGCGTGAACTTTATGCGTTGCGCACAAAAAAAATTGTTAATATTGCTTATGCTGCGGCAAATGGGGAAGAGGTTGATAGAAATCAGTTGCGTATGATGGTGCGGGGAGAACGTGCTCTATATGATGTTGTTTATGATTCATGCTGTGCATGTAGAAATATTCTTTTAGAAGGAAAACAAATATTAGAAGTCACTGCTTACAATTATGCCGCTCCGGAATCTCCGGTAATTGAGGACGCTTCACCCGATATTGAGGAAATTCCGGCGGAAATGGACAATTTGACTGAAATTGTCCCGGAATCCGATGCGTGCCGTGCAGAAACTGCTCCAGAGTCCAATCGTGTTGTAGCGATTCGATCAGCCATATCAGAATTCCAGGATCTATCTGGAAGGATTTATTCTCTTTCGCCAGGAGATGTTGTATCCCTGCCACAGCAAATGGCAGATATTCTGTGTAAAGACAACAAAGCATTAAGTATTCGTATTCGCTAATAAATACTCATATTTAGTGATATCCGCCATGGTAATACATGAGGAAATTTATCATTAGACGAGGTAAATATGAAGAGACCAGTTAAGTTTAATACATACTGCCCATACTGTCGAAAGCATACTGAGCATGAAGTAGAAAAGGTAAAGAAAGGAAAGACAACCGGCATGCACTGGATTGATCGCCAGAAAGCACGCAGGAGCAAATTAGGTAACCGTGGTAAGTTCGGTAAAGTTCCGGGAGGAGATAAGCCGACTAAGAAGATTAATGTTCGCTACCGGTGTAAAGAGTGCGGAAAAGCACATCTGCGTGAAGGTTTCAGAGCAGGTAAATTTGAGCTTACGGAGTGATTAGGTATGGTAAAAGCAGCACGCAAAAATAGGAGTAAATTCTTAAAGATTAAATGTCCGGAATGTTCGAACGAACAGATTATATTCGAGAAGGCAACCTCAGTTGTCGAGTGTTCCAAGTGTGGAAAGATTCTTGCAGAACCGACTGGCGGTAAAGCAACGGTTAATGCTGAAATTATTGAGACCTTCGAGTAACCTGAAGGATTTTATTCTATGATAGAACGAGACTGGCCACAGGAAGGGGAACTGGTTGTATGCAGTGTAACCGAGGTTAAAGATTTTGCTGCATTTGTAACCCTTGACGAGTATGATAAACATGAAGGGCTTATTCCGATAGCCGAAGTAGCGCGCGGATGGATTAAATATATTCGTGACTATGTACGTGAAGGACAGAAAATCGTCTGTAAAGTTCTAAATGTTGATAGTTCCCGTGGTCATATCGATCTATCTCTTAAGGATGTAAATGATCATCAGCGGCGTGAAAAGATTCAATTCTGGAAAAATGAGCAGAAAGCCCATAAATGGATTGGATTTGCCGTGGAAGCTACTGGGATTCCCGAAGAAAAGTTCAAGGAGGCTATCTATGCGAAATATTCATCGTTGTATGATGCTTTTGAAGACATGGCACTTGATCCCGAGAAAACGGTTGATAAATTTGATTTGCCTGATTCGGGAAAGACGATTCTTGTTAAACTTGCCGCTGAAAATGTTAAGATTCAAAAAGCAACCGTTACGGGAATTTTGAATCTTACATCCAATAAACCAGATGGAGTTAATATTATTCGCCGTGCATTGCGCAGTGCGGAACCGAAAATCGATGGAGCTGAAATTGAAATCCAGTATTTAGGTGCTCCGAACTATCGCATTAAGGTAACTTCAACCGATTATAAAAAAGCGGCCCGTGCCCTTACTAAGGCTGCTGATGCAGCTATTGGTGTCATGCAACGTGCAGGTGATTCGGGAAGCCTGCAGAAACAGAAATAACTATGCATGGGCATATACGGGAATGCAGACGTGATCATGTCTATACTCTTTTAGATACTTGTCCTGTTTGCGGTGGACCGACGGTTTCGGTTCATCCTGCCCGATATTCTCCGGAAGATAAATATGGGGAATATCGGAGGAAATTATTATATGAATCAGGTAAACGTTGACTGGATTGAGGATAGTCCGCGGATAAAAAGCGGATGTATTGTCATTGCCGGTCTTCCTGGAGTTGGACATGTGGGAAAACTTGTTGTTGATCATCTTGTCCGTATCTCGAAGGCAAAGAAAATTGCCGAACTTACGTCTTCTTTTTTTCCTCCGCAAATGTGTCTGTCTGAAGAAGGAGTTATTCGGTTTCCGCGCAATGAAATATGGTATGTGCCGAAACGAAAAGCGCATCCGTCATTGATTCTGGTATCCGGTGACTGTCAGAGTGTCGGGGCGGAAGGTCATTATATTCTGGGAGAAACGTATGCACAGATTTTTAAAAAGTTGCAGGTTTCACGGGTATATACCTTAGGTGGGTATGGAATGGGAAAACTTATTGAACATCCCCGGGTTTTTGCCGCAATATCCAGTCTCTCACTCAAAGAGGAAGTCTGCAGTGCAGGGGCTGTTCTTAATGGAATTGAACCATCCGGGGGTATTATTGGTGCTGTCGGTCTTATTGTAACCTTTTCGGCCTCACTGGGAATTGACGGGATTTCCCTTCTTGGTGAAACATCCGGGTATCTTGTTGATCCGTTCAGTTCGATGGCGGTTCTTGATGTCTTGGAAAAGCTGGTTGGAATGAGTGTTGATCGCAGTGACCTGATTAAACTCAGTGATGAAATGCAGACGGAACTGACTGCATTTTCTTCATCAATGAAACAGAATTCTGCTGATGATCTTAGATATATTGGCTAATTTATGAATATTAATGCTGATCTTCATATCCATTCGCGGTTTGCAATGGCGACGTCGCCGGATTTGTCACCACAAACCATTTTGAAGGGCTGTCGTTTAAAAGGAATCGATGCAGTTGGTACTGGGGATGCCTTGCATCCGGAATGGCGAAGAATGTGGAAGGAACATCTCTATGATGACGATTCAGTTATTGCAGTTCCGCAGACGGAAGTTGAAGATGAAAAGCGGGTTCACCATCTGATTCTTGCAGAAACACTTGATCAGTTTGCTGAGCTTGAGGATTTGTTTTCTTCCTATTGTTCGCATATTTCAACGGTTGGAAGACCGCATCTTCATGCAAACGGAGAACGTATTGCGGAACTGGTTCATTCCGTTGGAGCGATGATAGGGCCGGCACATGCATTTACCCCATGGACCTCACTTTTTGCTGCATATAAATATCCTTCTGACTGTTATGGAGAAGAACCGATTGATTTCTGTGAATTGGGATTATCTGCTGATTCATCCTATGGTGCTGGAATACCAGAATTTCAAACGGTACCGTTTCTCAGTAATTCCGATGCCCATAGTCAGTATCCGGAAAAATTGGGTCGTGAGTTTACTTGCATGTCAGTTTCCGATTTAACAGTAAAGAGGGTACTTTCAGCACTGAAAAAATCTGCGATTACGTTGAACGCGGGTTTTTTTCCGGAGGAAGGAAAATATAATCGGACGGCCTGTATTCGCTGTTTTACTCAGTTTTCCTTCGAGGATGCAGAACGTATGCACTGGAAATGCCCGCATGATGGGGGGAGGATTAAGGTCGGGGTACGCGATCGGGCACTCTCTCTTTCAATTGTTCCAGAACATGAACGAACGTCTCGTCCCCCGTATTTGAAAATTATTCCGCTGGGAGAAGTTATTGCTCGCGTTCTTGGTGTTTCCTCACCGCAGACGAAGACGGCTCGCAATCTTTACTTTGCATTTTTGACGGCATTTAAACGTGAGATTGACGTCTTACTCAATGTGCCGTGTGATGACCTTAAAACGATATCGGTACCGGTTGCCGAGGCAATCGAGTCAATGCGAAACGGTACTGTTATTCTCTATCCAGGTGGCGGTGGAAAGTACGGACGGTTTGAATTTCCTCAGAAATCATAAAAAGAGAAAGCGTTAGAGAATGTTGTAGAGGGTATCCCGCTGGACAAGAGTTCTGCCAATATCCCGACAGATAAGATTCATCTCTTCAGGACTGCAGAAATCAGCACTTTTGTCGGCTCCAGCGGAACGGGAAAGAGAATCTGAATACATTGTTCCCCCTAAATCATTTCCACCGGCACATAAACAGAGTTGAGCCATTTTTGTTCCTATTTTTGTCCAGGGGACCTGTATATTTTTAAAATTATCAAGAAATAGTCGTGCGACTGCTGTCATTAAGATATCTTCTCTGCCAAATGACCCGTGATTGACGATTCCCTTTTTTTCCAGCGGGGTATTTTTGTGAAGGAAAGAAAGCGGGACGAGTTCGGTAAATACTTTGGTTTCATCCTGAATGTCACGTAAAATCTGTAGATGATGGGCGCGATGACGGGTTGTTTCAACTGATCCGTACATGATGGTTGATGTTGCCTTAAAACCCAGGTCGGCAGCTTCCTTAATGATACGAATCCATTCTGAAACTGAGAGTTTTCGTTCACAGATGATTTTTCGCACGTCATCATCAAGAATTTCGGCGGCAGTTCCCTGTATGGAGTTTAAGCCGGCTTTCTGTAGTTGTATTAAGGCTTCTTTGGTGGATACTCCGCTTTGTGTCGCCGCGAAAAGAATTTCATCGGGGCTACAGCTATGAACATGAATATTTGGTATTGCTTCATGAAAGGCTTTAATTATATTTATATAGGTATTTAGGGTAAATTCAGGATGAATTCCGGAAAGATAGCAGATTTCAGTGACATTTTCAGTATTAGCTATTTGTATTCTGTTTCGAAATTCCTCCTCGGAAAAATAGTAGGCATTTGAATCATCGGCCGAGGTTCCAAATGCACAGAGATTACATTGATTTTTACAGATATTGGTTAGATGAAGGTTCATATTGCGAACAAATGTTACGGAATCACCGCAGCGTTTCTGTCGCATTATATCTGCAGCTGATGCAATTTTCCAAATGTCGGTACCTGTTGCGTTGAGAAGAGTGCATGCACCATCTTCTGAGAGGCGATTTCCGGAAAAAATTGAGGTAAGAATGGTATCTATGGTCATTTTTTTCATCAGGTGTTCGGAAGGTTAATTCGGTTTGGTATTCTCGGTCTTGGATTTTTTATTCTTCCGTCTTTCAATGATATGAGTGATAAGTTCAACGACAATGATGATACCGACAACAATCAGAATGCTTGGAATTATATTTAATGGAATCCATCCGACAAACGGGATAGCGAACACTGCTTTTCCGACAATCCACTCCGGTTTAACCGGTTGCATTCGTCCATAGTTTTTGAAGATACCTTCCTGATCAGGTGCTGGATTAGTTTTTTCATTATCTCCTTTGGTAATATATCCGGCATGTGCCGCCTCTCCGGTAAAGTTTAAGAGTGTTTTTGCCTCCTCTGCAGTGACATGAGTAATGGCTCTATGTATAATTGGGGTAACGCCGGTAATTCCATTGGGGCGATAGACGATTACATCACCGTATTCATTGAATTTCATATCAGAACTTGAATTGAGCGCTTCTTCCTGGGTTTGCCAACCGCCGAAACGTTCTGCATCTGAAACAAAAACAAGAGAATATGTCGGGATGTTTGGTTCCATACTTCCTGATTCGACGGCGACCAAAGGAGGCCATACGCCGGTAATACTAAAGAGAATCACACCTATCAGGGCAACACAAAGCAAAATGCTGACAATGTCACGTGCCCATGTACCTGCTGAGGTTTTGGGGTGGAGTATTGATTTAAGTGAGATTTTCGATGACATGGTTCTTCATTTTCATTGATTGTGGAAGAGTATTTATTTTCCGAATCTTCGTTTACGTGATTGGAAATCACGCAGAGCACGAAGAAAATCGACTCTGCGAAATTTATTCCAGTTGATGTCAGTAAAGAACAGTTCGGAATAAACTGATTGCCATAAGAGAAAATCGGTTAAATGACTTCTTCCGGTTTTAATTACAAAGTCGGGGGATACCTTGAATCTTAAATGATTTTCAATGGCAGTTCCGTCAATTTCTTCCGGTTTTTTATTTTCTTTTGCCAGTTCACGGATTGCATCACAGATTTCCTGTTTTCCGCTTTTACCGACTGCAATGATGGTTTCAGGAGTTCCAGAACCGGTTGTTTCATCATGAGTTCCGGAGACAAGGCGGACAGTTCCGTTTATTTTAGAAAAATCACTCGTGATTTTTTTTGGATTTTGAGTGGATATATGAAAAATCACTCTTTTGATGGCGGGAAATACATGAATCCATTCAACAACTTCAAGTACTCTGCGTTGATACCACTGCTTTTCACTGAGCATGAAACAAAGTTCCTTGGGAAAAGTTGTAAGTTTTTTTTCTATCTGTGATTCATAGAGCGGATGCCGCATACTTATTATGTTTGTTGTTTTCCAGCTAAAATATCTCTCTATTTGAGTCTATTGAAGAATCTCAATGTCAAAATTCCGTGTCTTTTGAATAATTTGATTGCACCTTATTTTCAAGAGTTTGATTTTTGAGAGGTTGATTTGAAATAGAGAAATAATGATAGGATATTACGATCCTGTCTAATTAGAATATTTCTTTAAATACTTTTCTCTTTTTTTCATTTCTTCTGAGATGAGACGTGTTTAATGACGTAGGTGGGTTGATGGCGTGACTTGACCCGTTCGCTGTTTTGTCCTTTTTACAATCTGCGCGCTTGCACTATATTTTGCGCGCGTTTTTGCTATATTTAGGGTATTTTTTGCATTTTTTTGCGCAAAACCTTCGGTTTTGGGGAAATGCTTATATACTTACCGGAAAATTTATATGGTCTTTTGTGCAGACTCACTCGAAGAAGTGATTGAACCTTTAAATAAAGGTCCTTATCCTTCAATTAGTTTGTTTTTGTCATTTGGGAATTTCAAAGACATAGCATCGCCTATCGAAAAGAAATACTACAAAGGTCAACATTTTCACTATCCTGTTGAATTAATGCTGAAATTGACAGTCATCAAGTTTTACCGCGAGATACCATTTCGCAAACTCAAAGAAAGTTTGACTCAAGAAGATTTGGAATGTTTATTTACCTGTGAAGAATTGAAAACTGGTGTGAAAATACCGTCGGGTAAAACAGTTCATCATTTCCTTTATTATCGACTCGGTAAAGAAGGAGTAATAGATTTAATGCAACTCTTGGGAAAAGAAATCGTGCATTATCTTAACAAACCTGACTTCACTTCCGAACAAAAGAATCTTATTGTTGATTCAACACCGTTGGAAGCCAGCAGATATTCAGATGCGAATTTTAATTCTCACTATAAAATCTTCATGTCGAAAGCCCATATTGTGTCATTTTGTGGATATCCGCTATATATGCGTTATTCAAATGGGAATGACAATGATGCTCCATTTGGACGTGAATTGATCCGTCATATTTCTGAGATGAAACCAGAAGCTAAATACTTTTTAGCTGATGGCGGGTATGATAATAAACAGATGTATGCTGATATTGTTCAGCTTCTTCACACAACTCCTATTATAAGTTTCCGTGAGGATGCTGTTATTGATAAATACGCAGAACCTGATGCAATTGACAGGAGAATCAATAAATTATGGAAAAGAGGAGGTGATGTATCGCTCCCAATTGAGAAAAAATTAGAGTTCCTCTATAATCTGAACCCAATTTCAGGTGAAAAACCAACGAAATACAAAGAAATCGTTGGAGGGTATTATAGGAATCAGGCATTACGAAAAATTACGAAAGTAGAAATTGAATTGAAAAACAGAGGTTTATGTGAAGTGCGACATGCACAATACAAAAAGAACTTCAATTTCACTATCAAGAACTATCGTAAAAATATGAGAGATGTTTATGTTCTTGCAAACTTTATTTCTGTACAAATTATGTTTTTAATTAAGTTACAGAATAATTCCAAGGACACACTTCTTTCAAATTTCAGATAGAATACTTATTTCCGGGTCTTATTTCCTTTCATCTGAACTATTTTAGTAGCGGAGCGGTTTTTCTCTCTACCTATTTTAACACATAATTGCGCTATCAAAAATCCGATATTACTCATTTACGAGTTAAAAAATATCATTTTGAGATCTAATTTCGATTCTCTGCTGCACAAATTTACGTTTGATATCATTTTGGGGTTAAAAGTAGGTGGGGGGTAAAAACGGTGTCTAATAAAATTTTAGCTCTTTAGAAAGACTCATTACAAATGAGTAAATAGAGAAATATATATACATGCAATGAAAAAAGTATCTGTTATGTTTACAGCATTAGATTTCAAGGAGGAAATCGAAAAACGGGCATCTGCATATTTATCGCGCGATACATCGGGTATTCGGAAGGCTGTTCTTGAATTTGTACTTAAAATAAAGTCAGTTACGGTACAGCAGGTCTATGATTTTCTTTCATCTAAATATGCTATATCTTTGCGTTCAGTTGCCTCCATGCTTGGTATTATTGCTTCAAAACTCGGTATTTTATCGGTTCGACGTGAACGGGATGGAGATCTTGGAATTTATGAATTGAAACCACAGTATGTATCGATGGTTACCCGTCTTCTTACTGCACATTAATTCTTTTTTTATTTTGTAGGGTGAGATATTTTGTCGGGATCATCCAATATTGATATTCCAGTAAGGCCAGAAGTAATCGCCTATATGGATGAACGAGGTGGTGATTTCGTGTATGTACCTCATGCAGTGGCCCGGTTCTTCTGTCGGTAAAGGTAAAACCTCCAAAACCGACCGATGTGATGATTAAAGCGGGAAATCATATGATTTTTATTTCTCGGTATCAGTTAGAATGGATTACCGAGATATCTATGCATATAGTTCCGTATTTTAATGGTTCTGACGATTCGTATGCCATTTGAAGAGCTGGAACATACTGCGGATGTTAAAATGCGCATTTCCGGTTCCGGGTTTGATGAATTATTAAAAGAAGGTGGATTTGCACTATCCCGTGTTATGTACGGAATCTATGATAGAGAAGTTCCTGAAATGACATTTGAGATTTCGTCAAAGGGAGATAGTGTTGAAGAACTTTGTGTAAATTATCTGTCGGAACTTCTGTTTATCTTAGAAACGGAGTATTTGGTACCGACGATGTTTTCTCTCACCGTATCGGAACATGCAGTCGAAGGGACGGTTTCAGGGGTACCGTTTGATAGGTTAAAACATGCCGGAGGAACGGAAATAAAAGGAATTTCGTATTCTGGGCTGTCTCTTACTCAAACAGATAATAATTATGAACTCATAATTATTTTTGATATTTAAATTACAAGAAATGAACGAACTAATAAAAAAAACAGGTCCGGTATCATGGACAGTTTCTCGCGGATTTGTTGAGGGAATGCGTGTTCCCGGGACATTTTATCTGTCAGATACTCTTGTATCATCCATTGAAGATGGAGCGTTGACTCAGCTTGCCAATGTTGCCTGTCTTCCGGGAATTATAAAAAGTTCCTTTGGAATGCCGGACATTCATTGGGGATATGGGTTTCCTATCGGCGGAGTTGCCGCATTTGATGAAACGGAAGGGGTGATTTCTCCAGGTGGTGTGGGTTTTGATATTAATTGCGGAGTGAGACTGATAACGACACCGTTAACTGAATCTGATATTTCGGATAAACAACGTCTGATAGCAGATCTTTTTGAGTCGATTCCAACGGGGGTTGGTGCAAAAAGTCCTATCCGTTTATCTCAAAAGGATTTGACAGAGATTATGCTTGAAGGTTCGGCACATGCTGTTGAAATGGGGTATGGTGTGTCTTCCGATGTTGAAAAATGTGAAGATTCCGGAAAACTTGAGGGGGCAGATGTTGGTGAAGTCAGTGATAAAGCAAGAAAACGGGGAATTCCTCAGTGTGGAACCCTTGGTTCAGGAAATCATTTTCTTGAAATTCAAAAGATTGATGCGATATTTGATGCTGAAACAGCAGGTGTCTTTGGGCTGAATGAGGGTCAGATTTGTGTTATGATTCATTGTGGTTCACGGGGACTCGGTCATCAGGTGTGTACTGATCATTTGAAGGTTATGGAAGAAGCGGTAAATAAATATGGTTTTTCTCTTCCCGATCGTCAGTTGGCATGTGCTCCGCTTGATTCGATAGAGGGAAAAGCATATTTTGCCGGTATGGCAGCAGCTGCAAATTATGCATGGGCAAATCGTCAGATAATTACTCAGATTGTACGCGACCTGTTTGTGAAACATTTTGGTATTTCCTATGAAGAAATGCCTTTGGTGTATGATGTTGCGCATAATGTTGCGAAACATGAAGAGCATTATGTTGATGGGATGCGTCAGACGGTATGTGTTCATCGTAAAGGGGCTACTCGTTCCTTTGGACCGGGAAGATCTGAGATTCCGTTGGCTTTTCGTTCCGTCGGTCAGCCGGTAATTATACCGGGAAGTATGGGAACCCCATCGTATCTTCTCGCCGGAACAATCGGTGCTTTGACTGAAACGTTTGGAAGTACCTGTCATGGTGCAGGACGATTAAAAAGTCGTTCCAGTGCAAAGAAAATGCAGACGGGTGATGAAATTGCAGCGGAGTTGTTAAATCAGGGTATTTTGGTAAAAGCTTCGAATCAAAATGCTGTTGCTGAGGAAGCGCCGTCGGTATATAAACCGAGCTGTGAAATTGTCCAGACAGTTGCGGCTGCCGGACTTTCACGGATTGTATGTAGAATGAAACCACTTGGTGTAATAAAAGGATAAAATTATGACAAAAATAGCAGTATTTTGGGACAATGAAATGATGTTTCACAAGGTCGTTGCCGATGCGGTCGGTTCGGTTGAAGCGGTTTCACCGCTGATGCTTGCGGCTTCGTTCTATCATAGTTCGTATGCTGGAATTATCATTCCAACGGGATTCGGAAATACCCATTATTCAAGGATGCTTCCTGCACTTCGTGCGTCGGCATCGCGTATTAAAGAATATATTGAGGGTGGAGGGAAAATGCTGGTATTTGGTGCGGCGGATAGTGAACCGAAACGATATGACTGGTTACCGGTAAAGGTCGATTATCATTATGAATTTATGGAACATGCAGTTACTGTTGATTCATCATCACCCTTTTCATCACTTGCTGATGGATATGACAGGGAGCATCTTCCCTGCGACGGTTGGTTTGAGAACGCTGATGGTAAAGCATTGATAACATCTCAGATAAATAATTACCCCGTTCTTTCTGAATGGGATATTGGAGATGGAATTTTACTCCTTGCAAGTATTCATGAATATCCAACGGTTTCGTTTCTTAAGGAATTGGCGAAAGGGAATAGTACTCTGCGTTGATACCACTGCTTTATTTTTATGATGACTATGAAAAATTTGACATAGGTCAGGATTTTTTATATAGAAGGCCTGATTCCCATAGTGAATCATTGTTTGTTTTTGATGAAAAGCTGTAACTTCTCAGATTGAGAGTAGATTATCTAAAGAAGTTTTCTAAGTGCGACATGAAGCTATAATCAGAATTTCCAGTGAAAATCTGGGCTTGCTATCCATTCAGCATGACTCTCTCCGGACGTGCGCGCCTCGGTAAACGGGCGGGTGCGAAGCTTCGGAGACAACGCGGGATTATCGAGAGTTCGAACTTGATATACTGCCAGAGTAAAGCTACTGGGATAATGTAATGTGAATCATCGCCCGAAAAATCGTCATCTCCAAAAGGCGAAATGGACTGATACGTCTTGACCAAAATGGCACGCAGTAAGGTCTCAAATGTTTAGAAGTCTTGGGACGGATGGACAAACACTGCCGGTTTATAGATGAATCCCGCAAGTAGCACTAAATATTTTGACTATGGAACATGGTAAACCGTATGCACTCCTGAACAAGGTATCGAACCGCGAGGGTAGAAATTGTGCAGATGGCAAGGAAGAGGCAAAAAGCAAACGCACAGCTGTAATGGTTGTGATAGGAGTTTATGCTCCACCCGAAAGGGAGCAGACTTGCCGAAGGCAAATCAAGACATGAAGAGTGGCAAATCAATGAATAACGGTGCGACAATTACAGACTTAAAACCTGAGTTCCCGTTAGACGCAAACTCTTTACTGACTGAAACAGTATCGTCTGGAAAGTGGTAATCAGACACGTTAATCGACTGCAAACTCGAATTATCAAGGCAATAAAACAAGGTAAAAACAAATTACCTACTTTATTGTCGCTCGAAAGAGTGTTGATATGCACGAGCGGAGTGCGGTGAAAGTCGCACGCTCCGTTCTTGGAAGGGTGGCGTGGAGTAATCCGATCTACCTATTCAACAAACCCCCTTTTTGAAAATTAAAATCCTCGGAAATGTAATCTAAATTATGTTTTCAGAGAGATAAGATGTGAAAAATTGGGGTTTTTAGAAAACTTCTAAATATTGATACTTTGAAACAAAACATGGTTTTCAGGGATTTTGGTTTGAAATGCTGGTTTCACGGGGTGTTTTTTAGGAAGGAAATATCGATATGTTTATATGATAATAAGTCAATCTTATTATCACAATTGTTTAGGCACTGATGGTCTAGAGGCATGACTTTGGCCTTCCAAGCCAATAGCCCGGGTTCGATTCCCGGTCGGTGCACTCTTTTGGTGTTTTATTAATAATTGAATAGTTTCTTAGATTCGTGGTCTAGCGGTTATGACGTTGCCTTCACATGGCAAAGGTCAGGGGTTCGATTCCCCTCGAATCTATCGTCAGATGCGTCCGTTTCACCTATTACGGCAAACACAAGTTTATTTGTGTCTAAATCTGTATTATTGTTATCATTGTGTTGTTTTTTCAGCCATTTTAGGCTATTATTAGCAATTTGAGAGATATTTATACCTCTTCGGTGTGCAAAATCGTACATATCCACATCAATAGTAACGTTAATTCTTAGTTTATTTGGTTTATTTTTTTCAGTAAATTTTGTTGAATTTGTCATTTTTCTTTTTCCATTTCCTCAATGTGTATAAATGTGTAATTGTGTGTATTACCTATTTATTATTGGTTAGCATTCGCTATCACTGTTCATTTATAGGCATTCCGTGTCGTATTTTTAGGGTCTTCTGGCTTTCGATTTTCTACCTTCATATGTTTATTTTTTCCAGGTAAAAAATAGTTAGTGTAAGTATAGTAATTATAGTAATTAGTTAGTTGTATGATTGCTTGACTAAATACCTATAAAAACCGATATGCATATAAATTCTGAAAATTTGAAACATTGATAAAAAATATCAATATTTACAACATTGAAAAAAAATCTCTCATGTTATCTATTTTTCATTTATTTAATATATATTTTATGTAAGAAAAAAAGTAAAAAAAAAAGAAAAAATCAGGAACGGGGTATTCAGGGAGTGATAGGTATTTAGTCAAGCAATCATACAACTACTTACACTAATTATGTGAACTATGTTTTAGGTACATTGATAGCCTCAAGATAAATCTCTTTTTGGAGCATGTGCGCCGCTTTCATGATGGGACATTTTGGTAAACATTGCTTCTTATATTTAGGGCACTGGATACAATATTCTAAAAGAAGACTTACTGCGTTCTTCTTATGACTAGTACTCATCATTATTTGTTGCCCATCA